GTGTGGTTGTATTGGTTTGCACACTGCTGTATGCCAAGTAACGAATAATCCCATACCTCAGGGGTTTAAAACAATGATTTATTCTTATGGCTCTGTCAGTCAGCATGGCTGTTCTGCCAATTCAAACTGGCTTATTCTGTGAGTCAGTTCCCATTCATCCCATCTGGCTCTCACCCTCCTGGCAGTTGATCCAGGCATCTGACGTTCCTGGTAATGGCAGAGATTCAGCAGGGGAAATAGGCCTAGCTCAGAACCACAACCTGTCATTTCAGCCTTGCTGTATTCATGCAGGTGAGTCAGGTGGCTGACCCGGGCCTGGGAAGTATATTCTGACCTGTAACAAGGCCTGCAAGTTCCATGGCAAAGCCACGGGTAGGGAGGGGGTGAATCCTGGGGCCATGACCAAAACAAAGCTGTGCAGCCAGTCGTGGTGGCCCATGAGTGTAATCCCAGCACTCAGGAGGCTGAGGCAGGAGGATAGCCATGAGTCGAGTCCAGCCTGGGCTACAAAGTGAGTTCAAGGCCAGTCTGAACTACATAGTGAGACCTTGTCTCAAAAAAAAAAAAAAAAAGAGGAGGGGGAGGTTATGGTACATTTTTAGTGTATGTGCTGCTGAGGTAGCACATATGGTACAGTTTTGAAAAGCCCTTAAGTCTTGATGGCTCAGAGACCCTCAGCAACCCAGTAAACCCTGAGATTAATGTAGGGTCTCCATAGCTGGAAGTTTAGAGCCCATTGTATTTCAGGTACCACACTCACTTCCGCAGGCAAGAAGCAGAAAGGATCATTTTTACTTCCTTATACCTGTGGTTACAGAGAGCGGACAAACAGGAGCCATACAAAGCACGATCAGTCAAGCAGCGTAAGACAGAGGGCCGCGTGCAGAAGCTGGCACTGGGGCAGTGACTCCTCCGTCCTTCCCTCTCAGAGAGACAGCTCTGCACTGAATGTGTGGGGCCAGCCAGAGGTCACTCAATCACTCACCTGTTGAAAAGACAGCCGGCATTTATTCCATCTGGCCTCAGCAATGAAAAGTCCCCAGCTTGGTTTGCTATTTTTACTTACTGTGCAAAAATTATATAGCTAATATATGCATAATATATATTTCTACCTTTTTACTTCCACATATTTTAATTTTTTTATTTTTTGGTTTTTTGAGACAAGGTCTTGCTGTATAGTTCAGGCTGGCTTGAACTCACTATATAGCCCAGGCAAACCTCCAATTCATAGTGATCCTCCTGCCTCAGCCTCCAAGTGCTGGGATTACAGGTATGTGCCACCACTCCTGGTTTAAAATAGTAAATTTTCATCTGATGATTCCCAACCATTTTCTCATGAATATCTTTTAGCTATGGGTCCTGGTTATTTTGCAATACTGTATCTGCGAGATTTTTTTCTTAACATTTTCAACTGACTTATTGAAACATGCAGTCTTAAAGATCTCCATGTTTTAGTGACCAATCTGCAAGCCTCCAGTTTCTTTCTTTATCACATGGGCATGTTTCCTAGGTCTCCTTTGTCCTTAAGTCTCCCCCTAGTAACGGGGTTAGTGTGGAACCAAGTACCCCTAGCCTTGGGATCCACACTAACCCAAAATTATCATGTCTTACCTGGTTACCTCAGCAAAGACCATTTCCAGATAAGGCTATATTGATGGACAAGGAGGAAGATTCTAGCCTATTGCATTTATTGATTGATTGATTGATTGATACCAGGCATTGAACTCACAGCCTCATGCTTGCCAGGCAGGCGCTGAGACACTGAGCTACATCTCCAGCCCCTTAGCCCATGGCTTTTAGAGCACCTGACCAACCCAGAACAGGTTCCTGATGTTATGAGACAATAGCAAAAGTAGAATGAAAATGAATCTTCCACAAATTAAGTTTGTACCAAACACCTGTTTCCCAACCCTCTAGATTCATCCCAGCTGGCCCAGGGAGCTCAGCTTATAGCATGCCCCAGAAAAGCTGATCAATACAAAGGCTCATATCTATTGGGTTCTGCACTGTGCAGTGCCTTTGTTTTGTTTTGTTTTTTAAAATTTTTTTTTTTTTGTCTTTTTGAGACAAGGTCTTGCTATGCAGTTCAGGCTGGCCTTGAACTCACTTTGTAGCCCAGGCTGGTCTTGAACCTGCACCAATCCTCCTGCCTCAGCCTCCCAAGTGCTGGGATTACATGCATGCACCACCACGCCCGACGTGACAGGGCCTTTGTTAGCTCCTAGAAATAGAAAAGAAAAGTGCCAGTCCTTGCTCTGGTAGCCAGGACTATTTTATGACATTGGGTGCACTTTGCACTAAAAAGTAAAGCAAACCAATCATCCTCACTTTTGTTAAAACAAAGAAAAAAATTATATGTATTTATTTTACTTTACTTTACTTTTATTTTATTTTATTTTATTCTATTGTGTCCTGGGTATTAAATCCAGACTAGGCAAGTACCCTAGTCCTGAGCTACCTTCCCAACCTTTAAAAAATTTTTGAGACACTATGTTTCCTAGGCTAGGCTCTAATATTTGATCCTCCTGTCTCAGACTTCAGAGTAGCTACTGGTAGGATTACAAGGCAGGTGCCACTGGATTCAGCTCAATATTTATTAAATTTTTGCTTCATACTGTTTCTTTGAACAAAACCTGTATAAGCTGATGGGTGCCTTTGCTGAAGATGAATTAACTTTAAATGGATCCCTCACATGGCTTTGGGACATCACAGAAAGCAAATCAGGAGCAAGTCCCAGGGGAAGAGCTGGCCTCCCTGCCTCAGCCACCCTTACCCCTCAGGGACACTTGTTTGGCTCTGCTTCAGCGGTCACCAGTACTAAGACTGAGTCCCTATTTTAGGGATTTATTTTTAATCCCTCTGAACATTTTTCTACAACTGCAGGATTGTTTTAGGACTAGAAAGGAAAGAGATTATTTACCTCAGACTCTTCATTTTAAAATTTTTGAGACAGGGTCACACTGTGCTGGTCTTGAACTATGTTGCCCTGGCTGGCCTCAAACTCTGGACAATCCTCCTGCCTCAGCCGCCCAAGTGCTGGGACCACAGGCCAAACACCGCGTATTTGGAGGTCACTCTATGGCTGTACAGTGTGACTCGACTGCAAGTTCTGTGAGAATACTGACCCTCCCTGGTTCAGGTGACCCTTCCATTCTTAGGGACAACAGAAGTACCTAGCAGAGAGTGAACGGTCAGGAAACGTGTGTTGCCTGAATAAAACAATAATTTAAATAGTGAATGAGCCAGAAATACATTTCTTGAAAGTATTTTCCACCGTCTCAGTGACATCAAACTTCTAAACAGACTTAGGAGTCTCTGTAAAAATTCTTAGTCTGACAAACATGTAGGCAACAGCATTCATCCTAATGCACTACTAAAGCTCAGCTGATTAAAAGGGAACACAGGAAAAATTTAAAAAATTTTAAAAATTTTAGAAAAGAGAGAATACAGGAGTCTGTGGTCCAGATCGTCCGGTATTCTTGGCCTGGGCTCTCCGTATTTCTCTAGTCTCTGTGCCTCTTAGGGAGGGAGAGGAGCTAAAATACAGATCCGCCTTTTACAATCGCTGTTATCTGACCCTAGCAGTTGTGCTAAATTTAGGATTTTGGATTATCTGTGACTGTTCTTTCCATCTCCCATTACCAAGGCTAATTGAAAAGTGATTACAGAACAAGTAAAACTTCAGTCCGTTTACAGCAGTTCAGTAATAGCAGTGTCAGATCTACCGGGTGTCAACATTTGTAGCCACTATATAAAGAACTGTTGCCATTCGTGAAGAAGTTTCCTCTTCCTAAAGCCAGAACAGCTCAGCGGAGATGAAATACCGTCTGCATGAACGTCCAGCCCTGGTCTGATTGGGTGCAATCTTGGAATTAAAGGTAATGATTGCATTTGAGCGTGTTATTTTACCGTCAAGAGCTAAACATCTAGAAAATACTATTTTTTTACAAGAGTTTTATGTTTTGTTTTGAAGCAGAAGAAAATGCAATTGTCCATCTTTGTGCTTTACAAAAACTTCTGATGTAAAAGTAACCCACAGTCTTTGTAAAACTTTAGAAACAATACAAAGAATAGAGTAAAAAAATAAAACACCTGTCTTCGTACTTTCCTGTTCTGATTCTGGTATGCAAAGTTATTTCTAAAAAAAAATTGTTTTCCTAATGACACTGAAGAGCCTTGCCAATTTCGTACTTCTGGTCTCCGTTTGGCCTCCCAGCCATCTGTGCGCTAGGTCTACACACTGAGTCGCTGCTCGGCTTGCCTGCAGCAGATTCCCGACATCTGTTTGTGTTTAAGTGATGAAACAACATCACAACGCGAAATTTCATCATGTCACGTTGTTACAGCACAACAACAAAATTACAGCTTCCCAACAATAACACGGTGTCAGGCGTGTCCTCCCGCGGGTGAGTCAGTGTTTGCAAGTGGCAAGTTATTTTTAGCACCGAGTCCTTGGGGACCGCGGGGCCGGGGGCTCCAGAGTGCGGGGCGCACAGGTCCTGCGGACCCCGAGACGACACCCCGCTCAGGGCCTGGACGCCGCTCCCGCCCCAGCCCCCAGTCTCTCAGCCGCCCGAGGGCGCCCTCTCTGCCCGAGCCCGCGCGGGCGCGGCGGCGTTGCCATGGCACCGGGCGTGCGGCGCGGCGGGGCGGAAGTGACGGGCACGCGGCGCTGTTGTTGGGACACGTGACCGGTCGTGTTTTGACAGGGCGGCCCGCGGCGAGGGGAGCGGGGCGGCGGGTTCGGGTGTATGGCCGCAGGGGTGCCGGGGAGTCGCTGGCCGAGGCGGGCGTGGGATGTGAGGGGCCGCGCGGGGCGCCGAGCAGGGCCCGGAGCAGGACGGGGACTAGGAGGAGGCGTGGCGCCGCGCGGGAAGCCGCGGAGCGAGCCAGCCGGGAGCGCTATGCACGCGGCCCCACGGCAGACACCCCGGAGCGCGCGGCGGGGCTGAGACCTGGGGGCGCAGGGTGAGCGCCGCTGGAGGGAGGGAGACGGCTTGGACCTGGGCCTGGGGAGGGCGGATTCGCCGGGGGAGGGGTGGGGCCTCTGCAGCGAGCAGGGCCCCTCCCTGGTGGGCGGAGCCTCGAGGCGGAGGCGGGGCGAGAGTGTGGGGACCGGGCTCGGGTTGGGCAAGGCCGCGGGGAGAGGAGGGGCCTCTAGGAGGGGGCGGTCCTTTGACGGGAGGGGCGGGGCCTCTGGCGGGGCGGCCCGGGACGGCGGCTGGCGAGTGCTGGGGTCCCGGGGATCGTCTCCCAAGTGGGCGCGGCCACGGGGCGGGCACTCAGGTGCGGCCCGGGCGGACGCGGGCACCCCAGACGACTGGTTCGTCGGCGGGTTGCTCGCCGCGCCCTCCAGCCGTGCCTGCGGCTATAAATAGGCCTGGAGCCGCGGCGGAGTCAGCGGAGGACAACCGCGCGGCTCCTCCCGCAGGGCCGCGCCGACTCGCCTCGCTCTCTTTCAGCGCTCGCAGCCGGAGCGGGGCGGCCGGGCCGCGGCCAGCCGTGGAGGGAGCCTC